ACATCAGGGACAAGTGCCATTGCTACTGTCCCCAGGGAATACCTGTGCCATGTGTGGCCTACTGCATAGCAGGTTACCTTGGATGGGGTAGGAGAAGCTGGGGCCAGCAACTGTGCTGACCCAAGCGGCCTTACCTGGGCTACTTACCTTGGGGAGCTGCAGCCTTGGCACTCTTGCAGCTGGGAGCCTGGCTGGCAGCCAGAGCATGGCTCCAGCAGACCAGGCTCCAGTTTTGGGCAGCATGCGCTTCCGCCACATGCGCCACCCTGCTTTTTTAAGGCATGGGGTTTTTTGACCCTGGGATCTCCCAGGGCCAACCCCCTCATGCTCAAGGTAGCAACACAGGGAATGCCTGCATGTGTGGCATGTGTCACCACAGACCCGTCTGTGCGCGCCACATACTGCACATCTGCACTTGTCTGGGCACAGCCAGTGGGAGCTTGCCTGAGTAAGCAATGAATTTACATGTTCTGCAGTATCTAATGAAGTGAGCTCATGTTCACCAAAGCTTTGATTTAGTTAGTTTAAGGTGCAAATTTACTTTGCTTTCTACCTGACTTCAGATTAACACAACTAAGTACCTCCCTCCGCTCTTGTAGGATTTGGCCATACTAGTCTAAAAGGAGACTGTCAACTTTTTTAAAAAATCACCTTTTATTTTTGGGGGATTTTAACTTGTGATTCTCACTTATATTATTATAAGTGAAACAGATTAGAGCAGAATAAGCTTTTTTCCAGATGTTTCCAGTCTAATTTCCCGATTATTTCCTAATGTTTCCAATCTGGTTTCCAGATTCTGATCCACTTATCTCCACACTACTTCCCCAGTGCTTCCGGATAGCTGTTTTTAAGCATGATCTTCCCACCTACTTTTACTCTGTACATGCCAAACCTGGAAATAAAGCTGTGGTGACGGCAACTGAACACAGAGATGTTGAGAGCAGCAGAAGGGGATGGAGGACCACCATTCATCACCATTTCATTTTCACGTTTGTTTCGTGCAGAGCCAAAACAGATGGGAGTGGTGTGACTGGCAACGGCACCCTGGGAGCATCAGATAGCAATTTAAACAAACCCGTGAGCATGCTGAGTAGCAACTTACTCTCCACTTTTTGTGGGATTTTGGTGGAGAACTGTGCTATCTCGTGATTGGGAGGGATCAGATTTGGTGCTGTGTACATTTGACAGCACCAATGAATAGTCAATTTTCATTGTTCCCCCTTGCATTCATTTTCCCCTGTTGTTTATGTGGATCTGACATACAACTGTAGCTGAGAGAGCAAAATTTATTAAAATAGGAAAATGTGACTAAAAAAACCACAAAAAACTGGCAAGGGGTGTACAATCAGGTGTGGTACTGAAACTGCCTTGTACTCATTTTTCAAACAGATGAGACTTCAAGTTGAAAGCGTCCTTTAAAATACTGAAAAAAATAACCCAATACAATTCATCTGTGCTAATGACATTCCTAGGATGAATTAACACAACTTAATCTCCACTTCGCCACTTGTGAGTTACGCAGTTATCCCTAACTCATGGAATAACAAGGCAAATTCATTGCCCACGGCTGCAGCATTCTTATCTGTTTTATTTATAAATATGGTAGGTGATAACTGGAGACACCAGATCAGCTAATGAGGTATCTAACTATATAGATATATATTTATGATTGCAAGGTTTGGGACAGGGTAGCCAAGTTATGCTTATAAAAATATACTTTTAGAAAAGAATATACTCACTTCAAGAAGTAAAGATAATACAGGAATATTCACATTTCTCAGGTGGCTGAATAGATTCACGTATTTTATACATATATTTATCTATATGAGTAAAAACAATGTGTAAGAACAACCACCCCAATGCTTACGGTTTCACAGTTCAAACATCTAGTTTCGTTAGTCAGTGTTCCCTGAAAAATCTCATGCACCCAGGTGAGTTCTTGTTTATTGTTCTCTTCAGTTTCATTCATGTTGCCATTCTTTAATTTTCCGTTTTGCTTTTCCTGCTTCTTCTCCTCCTGTAGGATGTCTGCAATGGTGTTTAGCAAGTAATTTAAAAATTCGTGTGCATCTTGCTGCATGTAGTTGTCAAAGAGATCTGCAAAAGACAAAGTCGTATGATTGTGCCCATCTCCAAATATAGTTTTTTCCATGCAGAAATGAATATGCCTAAATTCAGATTTTCTTCCCAAATATGCTTACCAATTCAACAAGGCACATAAAACATACGGAACTAAAGCAGATAAGTAGCCCTACCAATTTCAACAGAACTAGTCAGACACTTAAAATTAGGTATGTATGAAGTATGTTACTGGATTGAGACCAACATTTAATACAGCTATTTTTATTTTATGTACTGCTTTCATATTGCAATCTTGGAGGTACACTGCTCCTGAAGACACTTTCTGAATCTTCTTGTCCGCCAGTAAAACTCAATACACAATAAGCCACTTTGCCCCCACTTGCAAGAAACATGTGGGAGGCATCCCTGAAGAAAAGTCTAAGAAGATCCAGTTGCAGAATGTCCACCAATACTTTTTTTCCTACTGGGGGCTTGGATATCCCTCATCTCCTCTTCCTGATGAAGCAGGTATTTCAGTTCCCCAAATAGTTGTATTTTTATCCCTTTAATGCCATTCTTACCAAGGCACATGTGGATGTCCATCAGGCATGGAGCTATAGATATACAGACAGTTTTCCTTTGTATTGTCTGTGGGGCTGCCACCCACACTGATACGGCTCCTAAGCAGAATTAAACTGTGTTATCAAGAACTCTTAACCTCACATGCCCTTACACACTGAACAGAGCAGTTGCTTAAAATGGAGTACACCCTGTTGCCTCTTATCAACAAAAAAGGCCCAGTGCTCAGTGAAACTAGATTACTGCCACTACTCTGGGAATGAGGGGAAGCAGCAGATGTAGCTCTCTCGATGCACACACACACACCACCAACGCCTGTGGTGTTTTGAACTAATAGTGTTCACAGACCTAATTTTCACACTTTTCCCACCTCCCCACAGTATCCCTTTCTGTGATCCCTGACAGAAAACCCCTGCACAGAGGTGCTTGATACAGGTCCCTCTATCTCCCCACTCATGGCTTATGCTAGATTGCTACAGTCTTGCCCTTACTGTACTGAAAACTTCTTAGACAAACTATGTGTCCATGGAAGATTACAAATCCGGGTATATTTGTCATCAAATATTATATTACATGCACATATATACATGCTGTGAGTATGTAGATACACACACATTCACACAAAATAATTCATATCTAAGAAGCAGAAAGTACTAAAAGCTTATTAGACATCTAACTGAATATTTGATTAATTTAGCCACACTGGTGATTCTTTTCACCAATTTCACCTATTACATGAAACTAAAAAGTTTCACTCACCATTCTCCTTTCGTAACCTTGAAATGAACTTTTTTGGTGGAATCACTCCAACTTTCTTCTTCTGAGTGGCAATACTGTGGAAAAGGTCTGCCAGGCAAGTCAAGAGATTTTCCTTCTTTTTCTGTTGGGCTTTGTATGCCAGCACATTCTCCCGAAATGGCCGGCAAAAATACAATGCCTGCAGCACGGAGTTACAGTAGCAGGTGTTCCCAAACTGCCAAAGTAAAAGCAAAAAAAACCTTAATCCTTGTGCAGTGGAACATAATCTAGTTAGTTACTTGATTGTGTCCCTTGTAGCAGACCACCCTAATGACCACACAGCTATCGATATGGGTCCCACACCCTGTACTGACAGCTACTCAGGAAAAACAAAGTATAAATGTGACTTATTTATCTGACTAGGACTGAAAATGAAAGCTTAAAATGTAAAGAATATTTTAAAGTATTAAGTGCACTAGAAATCTCTTTGGTAGTCATTCCCATAAACTAGTATGTTCTCAAGGGGCCCCAAATCAATAATAAATTCCCACTGATACTGATGCAAACAGTACTTGCTTGAGTCTCATTTATGTATTCGTTAGGCTGTTAAAAAACAACTTTTGGAATGGTCTGGTCTTCAGAATTGTAACTGGTCTTAAGTATTTGACACAGCTACAACTCACTTTAAGTATGCTAGCCAAAATCCTCCCTGGAACAAACTGAACCCCACAGCAGTGTTAAAAAGGAAGTATATGAAATTAAAACTGCATCAAAACAACAAAAGTCTCTATGGTCCTCAAAACTATCGTTCACTGTAAAACAGTACGTGGTTCACCTTACTGAAATGGTACTTACATTGACCAATCCAAAGTAATGTTCATTGATTGGGAACTGCTCTGGGCCAATGTCTTTTTCCAGAGCAGAGGCATTGGTGCCCTAAAAGAGAGAGAAAAAAGACAATTATTCTCCATTTCAAATTGAAATTTTCAAAATAAAAGTATAGACTAATAAAAAAGAAACATCATCTCTTCCCATGAAAGTGATTAATCAAGCTAAAAGAGGTCTTAAGGATGAACAGGGGCTTAGGTTAACAAGAATATCTGAAAATCTTAGGTCTGGCTTAACTGAGCTAGATAACTCAGCAACGGTTGATGTGAGGTGAATTGGATAGTGGTCCACCATCAGAACTGCCATGCATACAGAAATTCACAGAACTCAGGGAGATGCAGAAGAAGCAATTTCCTTTAGTTATTTTCAAGTTGAGTAAAGTAAGTAAATAAGAAGCAGAGTGCATCACCCCTCCTCTCTGATGTAGGGAGTTGCAACTGATGAACAAGAGGTTCCCTGCTATCCTTACCAATTAATCTACCATAAAAAAGCCCAGCTTCTTTCTTAGCTGTATTAAATAAGAAAAATAAAACAAAAATTCCAATATTTAAGAACAGAAGGGACCATTAAATTATGTCATCCGACCTTCTGCATAACACAGATCATCACATTCCATCCCATGAACCCTGCATCAAACCCATTACTTCTGGCTGAACTGCAGCATATCTTTACAAAAAACAGATGGTCTTGATCTGAAAAGATCAGAGGCTGGAGAATCCACCAAATCCCTAGGTAAGTTGTTCTAGTTGTTAACTGCTTTCAGTTTTAAAAATCTGGAACTTATTTCAAAGTTGAATTTGTCTGGCTGCAGATTCCAGTCACTGGATCTGTTTATGATTTGCCTTCTACATTCAGCATCCTTATAAGAAGTGTTCTACCCATGTGCAGATACAGGCTGTGATCCAGTCTTTTCAACCTTATCTTTCAACCTTATTCTGTAGGTGTGAAGCACATTTTCTAATAATTATTGTAGTGCTTTTCTGAAGCCTTTCCAATTTGTCAGCATCCTTAGTAAATTGTGGGCATCAGTACTGGATGCAGTTTTCCAACTCTGGTCTCACTATGCCACATATAATGGTATTGTTCTGTAATGCTTAACTGTTCTTAGCATTAGTTACCAATCTTAGCATTAGTTAGCATTAGTTACCAATCTTAGCATTAGTTACCAATCTACCAATTTCTTTCACCTGAAAATTTTTACTAGATAACTGAAATGATTTTAGATAACTGAAATGATTTGCAAAAGCCCTGAGCCAAGAATAGATTTCTGTGGGTGCCCACTAAGCCTGCCCTCACTGGATGATAACTTTTCCTTCACAATTACTTTTTGGATCAGGCCATTCTATCCAGCCCATGGAGCCCCTAAAAAATTTAGAAAATTAATATTTATGTGCCCTTGGCTGCCTGTCACCTGGCCCTCAATAGCTTGCCAAAACTCAGTAAGCGGCCCTCCTTCCAAAAGAATTGCCCAGCCCTGTTTTGGATCTATCAATTAGCTTTATCAGTTTCATATGCTGTTATTAGCCAAATTCTTATAGTGTGTTAAGACACAGTATATCCGTTACTTCTATCAAACAAGCTGTATATTAAGATTGGTTGACAGATCTGTTTGTCATGAAATTAAGTTGATTGGCATTAATTATGTGATCATTCTTTAATTCCTTACTGACTGCATTCCAAAGAAGGTTTTCCATACTTTTGCAAAGGGTCAATGTCAGGCTAACCTGGCTATATGTACTCAGGCTTTCCTCTTATCCTTTAAAAATATTTGCACAATATTACTTCTCTTCCAGTGCTCTATGGTGTTCCAAGATTTGTTTAAAACAAACATCCTTGGCAATAGGAGCACCCGAGCCAAAACCTTCAAGCCTGTTGGTTATAGGATTCAGTGGTTTTGAGGCTATTCCCCCCACCCCCATAAATCTAATCTAATTTTTCTTACTTCTTCTGCCACCAGTTTTGCACCTTTCTTGAAGATAGGCATCACATTTTTGCCATACTGGATTATCATCAGTTTTGCCCTACTGGATTATCATCTGCTGTCACACACTGAAAGTTGTATCTAAGTGAGTTGAATCAGCTAAATGAAAACTGGCACAACTGCTATTGGAGACTTTTCAGGCTTTAAAAGACAACTTATTTGGAGTCAGTAGCTTCCATAAAGCTTCATGTACTTAACATCTCATACCTCTTATTAGATCACCCCTCCTCATTACACATGCACATAATTTCCGAACTACAAGTATGTGTTTAAATACTGTTGCTAATTCCTGGACATGCCATCTGAAAACAAGATCCTTCATTTTCTGCAAGCCACACAAGGCTCAGTTCTCCAGTTCACATAACCAGACTGTGGACTGTAACAGGGGGCCTACTCAGGGCTGATCCAGCCATGGCCCACCCACCTGTTCCTGAACTAGCTGCCCACGTTCTCTCCCACCACACCTTGATGTTAATTAGTTAAATGTAATTAAGCAGGAGGCTGCCCATTTTCTGCCCCGATGCCAGGGGGCACTATCTGCGGCTCCATTCCTCCCCTACACCACAGCTCAAGCCTCGCAGACGGCATCTCGATGTTCACATAATCACTGGCCCCCACTATGGGCCCCAGAATCCTACTATTGGACCCCACCTGGATTCATCCCTTTCAGGCCGCCTTTTCCACCATCATACCGGGCGTGCATAGCTCCCTGAACTGGTTCCCCTTCGGGTGTGATCCCCCCACCGGGACCTTCGGCTACTAGCCCTGGCCCATCTCCAAGCCAGTCGGGACCCCAGGCCCTCAGTTCTTGGGCGTCCCTCGTGGTGTGCCCCTGGCCCTTCGACCCTTCTGGTCCTAGCCCCAGCATGGGCCAGTCAGGGGAAACTCAGACAGGCCTGAGTCTATGACCCTTTTCTTATTCTCCGTGGGTTCACCCTCTGGACCCTCCAAACAAAGGGGTAACCCACCCAGCCGTGGGGGCTAGGGGCTAAGGTGCCCCGACCCACCTTTCACTGGGGAGGTAACTGGCCTGGCATTTCTTGGAGGCTCCCGCACCACTGAGAGCCCCACCAGACCACCCACTCCTGGCAGGGTGCAGTTTTAGGTCATCAACTACTTAAAGGGTAGTTCCAAAGAGAATGGAACTAGACTGTTCTCTCTCCATCTTTCGAGGTTTTTAAGACCCAACTAGACAAAGCTCTGGCTGAGATGATCTAGTTGGGGATGGCCCTGCTTTGAGCAGGGGGGTGGACTAGATGACCTCCTGAGGTCCCTTCCAACCCTCATTTTCTATGATTCTGTATGGGAGTTTAATGTTCTGAACCAAACTGTATTCATCTTGGTAAATTACTTCTATAGTATTCAGATCTAATCACAGCTATAAAGGTTCAAAGAAAGAAAGTTAGCAATTTACATTCATCTGATTGACCAACAGAAGATGTAACATTCTCCTGCATGTGACTGCCATGAAAATCAGCCTTCCTGTCACAAGATGAGTCAGATAATTTTTTTTAGTTTTTGCAGTAAGTTTCTTAGAACTAAAAATGTCAAAAGGCCTCAGCTGTGGTCTTAAAGAGTAGCATTTCATTTGTATAACTCACCCTACATGGAGGGTGGGTATGTCATTATTAATAAATTGGTTAATATGGTGTTTAACATTTTTATGTAATTAAAATGGTCTGTGTTGTGTCTTTACTAGGAGTTTTGGAGAAAAGTCCTGCTAATGTTAATAGCAATTCAGTTCCAGTCAAAGCAGCAATGGAAAGCTCATGCTGTAAGGAGACCCTACATGGCCTGACAGAAGTCCAGGCTTTTGCAATGGTAATTCCCTTATGGCTGAGGTTAGCTAGGTTCAAGACTTTAAAAAAAGAAGAAAAAGAAGACAAAAAAAGGAGGAAGTATGATAAAGGTGTTACAGTAGTCAGAACTCTTGACAGAAAGAATTGGTCAAGCGTAGCAACTGTCCATATAGTTTGCACTCTAGATTAAGCCTAGTCCCATTGAAGTTAACATAAGTTTTGCCACTGGCTTCAATAGAGTACCGGTTTCACCTTAAATATTTTTAAAATGTGCTGATTATTAAAAGGCAAAGAAAAGACATAGCTTGGGCCTTTTGCCAAGTTTGTGTCAGTCTCAGTTAAGCCAGGACTTCTGCAATGCAATCGTTCCTGCTGAGGGTGCTTTTGATTCAAACTTACCCAATGAGGAACTTTTTCTCCTGTTTTGCCTATGGCTCTGATATGATTGAGTTTGCTGAAGTTAATTTCAACTACAAATTCTGATAACATAGTTAAAAGTTTTACTTGATTTTTGTACTTGCCGACCATGTAAAACAAAATAACAGCAGACTGACTACTATGCATTCTTAAATCTATTATTGAAATAATGAAATTAAACCCCTAATTTGGTTTTGTGTATGCACAAACTACCCTGATAAAATTTCATAATACATTACTGTGATTAAATAAGATTAGATTATAAACTTTGGGGTTTAGAGAATATTTTCTTTGTCTGCAAATACCTAGAATACTTTTAAGGGCTATATAAACTTTTAATAGAATCATAGAAAATGAGGATTGGAAGGAACCTCAGGAGGTCATCTAGTTCAACCTCCTGCTCAAAGCAGAACCATCCCCAACTAGATTATCCCAGCCAAGACTTTGTCTAGCTAGATCTTAAAAACCTCCAAGGATGGAGATTCCACCACCACTCTGGGTAACCTGCTCCAGTGCTTTACTATCCTCCTAGTGAGCCAGTTCCTCCTAATATCTAACCTAAACTTCTCTTGCTGCAACTTGAGACTGTTGCTCCTTGTTCTGCCATCTGCCACCACTGAGAACAGTCTAGCTCCATCCTCTTTGGAACCACCCTTTAAGTAGTTGAAGGCTACTATTAAATCCCCCCTCAGTCTTCTCAGTTCCATGAGCCTGTCTTCAGAAGTTATGTGCCCCGGCCCCCTAACCATTTTTGGTGCCCTCTGCTGGACTTTCTCCAATTCTTCCACATCCTTTCTGCAGTGGGGAGGGTCCAAAACTGAACACAGTATTCCAGATGTGTTCTCACCAGT